TGATTCATCGATGACTTGAAAGATAAAAGGAGAGCTTATTCCTATCCACCAAACATCTACAAACAACTGCCCGTATCGATCGAATTTGTAACCGTCTGATCACACACATTCGAACACGAGTGTAAATTGATCAAACGACCGATTAAAAGTTCGTTTGGTAGGGTAAATAGACTAATAATCCAAGCTAGGACAATAGAATTTACATTTCAGTTCACCTCCCCAAAACACAAAAGACATGTAGATTACATGGACTTCAAAAAGAAGAAAAAAAACCCCTAATAAGTCCCCAAGTCTATTAATAAAACTCTTCCCAAATAAAGAAACATAGAAAAAAGATAACCAAAAATCAAAACAAGCAAACCTAAAAACTTTTTATCAACTGCTAAATTGTTCTCAAGAAATCAAATCTTTCTTCAGAACAAATCAGCAGTCTCCCCCAATGCCAAGTCCATGAAATACCCTTCCTGCCCCTGCGCCGATGCGTCGTCAAGGAGCCACTTCTCGAACAGGCTGAAGGGCATTTTCGTGATCTCCATGTCCGGCTTGCTCTCCTCATCCGGCGTCATCAGATTATTATTCGCGGCCTCCGAAAGCCCCCCCGCGAAATTCGTGCTGATCGCACCCTCACTCGGGCTCGAGCTCAAGCCCACGTAATTATTATTACTATTGATATTAATATTGTTGTTGTTATTTAACGACGAGCTCTGAGTGCTTTCGGACGAGACCTCTTGATGGTAAGACGAGTTAGGCGACTTCTTCATCCAGCCTTGGAGCAAGCGGGCTATGTTTTCAGTGCTGGATGCATACGTGGGCGTATGGGCCGATTGTGCGGGCTGGCAGTTTGGGCCCGGGAGGAGGGACGGGCCTGCCGGTGGGCCAGGCTTGTCGAGGGAGAGGGCTTCGCAGAGGGCTTTCTTGGCCAAGTGGATGTCGGTTTGGAGGCGCCTTTCCCATTGGCCCTTGGAGTTTGCGGGCTTGGGCTGATCGGGCAGGCTGGGGTGGTCCGGGTCGTGAGCTTGGAGCTTCTTGAGCTTCTTCTTGAGGTGGGTGTTCCAGTAGTTCTTGATATCGTTGTCAGTGCGTTGGGGTAGGTATGAAGCTATGGCAGCCCATCTGCAAAAGCAATTGAAAATTAATGCAAAATGGAAATGGTTATGAGATTTTTTTTTTCGAAACGATAGACTTGTTAGTAAAGACAAGTATTTACAAACTAGAAAACATCTAAAAACAATTGATTAATCAATTAGCTACTAAGCTGAATCAAGAGGAGGTCTACTCTTAAGGTAGCCTAGAAGTCCACAACACAAACACAAACTAAAAAAAAGTACTACTATACTCCCACAAGTTATTAGCAAGGACAATTACCATAATTATATATGTTTATGTGTGATATGTAACAACTGCATAGTCTTTAGTGATAAATGTTGATTAATATTAAACCATACTAATTGCAATTTGAGAAGCATTAATAATAATTAATTAGGGAATATAGGTTTCTTGGTGACTTATTAGAGTCTGATTATGCAAAAATTATCCAACCTAACTAGAATCTTAAAACAGGTAGGTTTCTTGGTGACTGTATCCTATCAATAATGTGAAATTAATAGTGCGTGACATCTTAATAAATGATAGTACAAAACAAGTTCAATTCAAATTCACTATATAGCTCAAGAGGCCTAGAAATTAATTAACCATTTTCTTTTTCAATTTGAGGAGATAAATAGTCCATATTTGTGATGTAATTAATTCCATAAAATTAAAATTAAAATATAAAAATTGTGCTTCCATCAAAGTATACTAAATTAAGTACATCAAAGAACTACAAGGACCTTTTACTCTCAAAAAAAATAAAATAAAATCAAGGAATCTTGTTATGAGATCCCTTAATTTTAATTTTAATTTGTAGATCTAACCCTAATGCTCCAAATTTTTTGAGAATCAGATCTTGCATGCTTAGCTTACAATTTTATATAATCTTTCTTATTTTTCTTTTCTTTTTGATAGTGATAAGGTACACACATATAGACACCTAAAATCCAAAAAAAAAATAAAAAATAAAATAAAATAAAAAAAAACACACATATATATATACCTGTTGCCAAGAAGGGCTTGCAGGTGGATGATCATCTTCTCCTCATCCGCCGTGAAATCGCCGCGTTTGATCCCCGGCCTCAGATAATTCGTCCACCGGAGCCTGCAGCTTTTGCTGCACCTCATCAACCCTAACCAACAAATTTTTTTTTAAAAAAAATTAATAATAAAATCAAGCTGATTTTATCAACAAAAAAAAATAAAAAATTAATTATATGCATTCAAAATAATGAGGAGGTGGAGCTAACTAGCTGCACACCCATTTATGACACAGCCTTAAATGTCTCTAACCAACCCCAAAACAAAACAAAATAAATAAATAAAAACAGAAAAATAAAACAAAATAAAACTGAAAAAAAAATGATTTTTTTTTTTTTAATTATTCCTTAAATTAAACATACCTGTGTTAGTAGGAACAGCCCTCCAATTGCCAGGACCATGTTCTTGAATGTAAGAGACCAAGATGATGTCTTCTTCTGGAGTCCATGGCCCTTTCTTCACACCAATTTTATCACAGCAAGGTGGCCTTCCCATCTCTCTCTCTTCTCTCTCTCTCTCTCTCTCAATTTGATTTGATTCTAACAACAAAAGTATAAAACAAACAAACAAAAAAAAAAGGAAAAAAACAATTAAAAAA